TGTTTGAAGTGAGTTTGGCGAATGGAAAAGAAAGATGCACAGAGGATGATGTTCTGCTGTCAGGAAGGAAGGCAGGAAGTGGGAGCATTTGTGGTTGTAAGTCCATCACTTCTGTTGCAGGCGTAGGGGATTGCCTTCCCCACCCCCAGCAGGAAGCTGCTCTTCCTTGGCTTTGCCACGAAGATCCCCGGGTGTTCCTGGGTGCTTCACCCTCCCCCATCCCCACTTTCCCCCAAGCCTCCATTGTGCCTCAGTCCCACCAGTGATTCCATTGTACAGACAAGCAAATGCAGGTGGGACTAAGAGAGGGGTAAATTTGGGTGGAAGTGGGAAAGCTGCAGACCATGTGCGCCCAGCATTTAGTGCAAGAAAACTCTGACATAAGGGAAAAGAGGTGATGCTCTGTCATTTCTCTCCTTTCTTTTCCTTTTTAAAAATTATAAAAGTAATTCACATTCATGAAGAAAAAGACAGTTATAAAAGCCTTCTTTCTGCCTTCCCCCAATTCTGTCCCCTAACACTAACTACTGTTAACAACTCTTTGAGAAGGCTCTGGGAGTGTCCTATTATACAAATATATATTTTATATGCATATATATCTTATATATAAAACGTATGTGTATACACAAATGCAGATGGACAGAGAGACAGACAGACACAGTTTGATGGTGCCACATGATGGAAAAACAAAACGGTGGCCCAGGGACTTAAAGTGGGGGGTGGAGTTGGAGGCTGACCTGAAGAGGCTGTTGAGGCACCGGGCTGGGCCTCCCGAGGGGAGGAAGTGACACACTGCAAGGATAGAAGTGGGGGGCAGAGGTGTCTTCAAATAATAAAATGTTTGCATGGCAAAAATATACTTGCCATTTAGGAGGTGCCAAATCCAACATCCAGTTGGCCTCAGGTTCCTTAGCTGAGAAATGGGATGATAATATACACTCCTCAGAGGTTTATTGTGAATATTAAGTGGGGGGAATAGGCTTCGAGTGCTCGGTATTCTGCCTGGCGCCAGGTACTGAGAGTTGCTGAAGCGTGTGCTACTGTCATGGTCATTGTCATGACGGTTGCTGTTCTTGCTGATGTGTGTGCGCCGAGCTCAGCAGCTGGCATGCAACTGGCCCTCTGCCATCCGCAGCCAGCGTAGGGGATGAGCCTCGTGATGGCATCCCTCTTCTCCTTTTGGAATTTATTTTTTTGACACTGCCCTCGTTCCTCCCTTCCTTTTTTTCATCACTGCTTCTAACTTCTTACTTTATGTTGTGTGCCCTTGAGGAAAACTTTCTGGCACCTGGTGGATATAAATCCTCGGAGATGTGTAGAGATGTTTTAGGTAGCAAAACTCCTGATCCATTTTCGTGCTTCCTCTCTCTCGCCTGGACGCAAGCTGCTGGAAGTGATTAGTGCTACACTTTACTCACACTACCTGAGATCAATTCCAATTGCTTACTTGAGAAAAATACCTAAAAATCCTTAGGGCCACTCCTATGCATTTCAAAAGCATTGACCCTGCAGCTCCACTTGAGACATCCTGGCCTAGTGTCTGTCCTTCTGGGATACCCTGTGTGTTTCTAGTTGTATTGAGAATGGCTGGCTTAAAATTCTTAGCTTTAATATTCTGCATTCCGAAATGCAGTAAAACTAAGGCTGCCTACGCACTCTTCTATTCTGATTTATAAATAGGCTCAGCTGCCTAACAATTAAATATACTATATTTTGCACATGCACATTCCTTAAGGAGACATTCTGAGGGCAGATGGCTTTTACTCTTGTGATGCTATCTGGAAACCATCTTCCTAACTTTCCTAAGTGGGTCTATTTTGAAGGATTGGCGATGAGACTTTCGGTCTCACAGGAAATCTAGTATCAAATTTCTAGCAGATCTTCACAGGGACAGGCCCAGGACTGGCGTATATGTGTCAGAGGTCTGGACTGCATGCTTTATATTATACATGGCCACACATGCTTGTGGCTGTGAGAGATACCAGTGACAAAGACAATAAGACACCAGAGACAAGAAAGATGAGTGCGGTCTGAGAAGGTGACGAGGATGTGATCTTAGGTATAATTAAATATTTGATAAGGTTGAAGGAAGGAGAGGGCATATACCAAGGCTCAGGAGAGATCTGCCTGGCAACCCAGAAGGGGACACAAGGGGAAAATGGCCTTAGGTTAACCTGTCAGAACTGGGACTTGAATAATAATAATACTGAGTATTATATAGCAGTTTCAGATATTGTATTTCACTTATCTCTCTATATAATACAATAAGGTACATGGATTAAAGAACATCACTTTTATACACGGAGAAACTGATGTGGAGAAAATGAAAAGACTTATGCCTGAGTTTGGGCACTCCCGCTGGGTCTCTGCCCCCTGACATCACTCCGCTCTCCTGGACCCAGCGTTGCTTCACCTGACAGCAGGGTGGAGAGGAAAGAGCTCTGCCATCGGAGCCTTCAAAGACACCCAGTTCTAGTCTAGACCCTGCCACTTACTAGGCATGACCCTGGGCCTACCTTTTAAGCTCCCAGCCTGTTTTCTCATGATAAATGTAAGGGATGAGTCTGGACAATCTCTTGAGCATAGCCACGATGCTGGTTGACAGTCGGGTGTAGCCGATCTGGGGGGGCAGGGGCTGGAAATACCGAGTAGAGTGTGCACCAGGGGACTGCCTTAGATGGCAGTGAAGGCTGGCAGCACAGAGAGCGCGAAAAGGAAGGGCCTGAGGGAATGAGACTCAAAAGCCAAAAGGCCTTGTGAATCCATAGTTTGTAGGTAGTGAGTGTGGAAGAATTCAGGAGGCAATTCGGTAAGTTTCCATGTTCAACTAAACAACAAGAAAAAAGAAAGAACCCAGGTCTGTCCCTTCCCTGTAGCCTGGGGCACAAGAAGGCTGAGGAATCCGGTCGGACCAATGGGGGGCTCCACCGAGCGCAGTCTCCGAATCCCTCGAGGGCCGCCCCGCCGCGCGCTGGCTCGCAGAGGGGGTAGATCACGGTGGGCGCTGAAGAACTGGCGAAGACGTGTCGCCTGCGTCCACATCCGTCTTCCTGGCCCCAAGTGCGCCCTCGCCTCTGCCCCGCCCTCTCACCTCCATTGCCCGGCCGGGTCCGCCCCACTCTCGCTCCTGCAGTGTTTAACTGATCCGCAGGCGGGGGCGCGTGTGATGCGAATTCCTAGAAGCCTTAAGCAGCTGCCCAGGATTTGAAGTTAGAATCCCCTAAAGGACCCTTGAGGTTCATGCACACACGCCCACCCCTACCTCAGGTCACAGAAGGGCCCAGGAAGCCGTGGGCAGCGGGAACGCCCCACTCACCATCCCAGTCCACCTAGGAGCCCAGTTCCATCCCAGTCCTGCCAGTCCTGGCTGACTTGGAGGGGATTTGGGGCGCGGGGCTGGCGGCTGGGTAGGGAGGCGAAGGAGCAGCTGGAGGTGGCGGGGACAGGTAACGGCAGGCCCAGAGAGGACGGGGCTGGGCCGGGGCGGAGGTGTCACTGGGCTGCCTGGCCACCTCGGGGACACCAGCCCAACCTCCGCCGGCTTAGCCCGGAGTAGGGACGGTGAGTCAGATCTCGGGCACCCGCGGGTCGGGCGGGGAAGGGGGGCAAGTCAGGAAATGACATCAGAGGCCTGTGTTTGGGGAGGGGTGGTCTATGCCCGGCCGGGGCGGCGGGGGCAGCGGGGGCGGCGGGGCCGGCCGGGAGTGGGGTTGGGAGGACCTCGGTGAAGCCTGCAGCCCCGGGGCAAGATCAGGGCCTCTTCCTGGGGGAGTTTCCTGCCGCGTCCGCCCTCCCCGCCTCTCCCCGCCCCCTCTCCGGGCCGCTCCTTGTAT